TGCCCCTATTCATGGGGTGCACTTATTCTTGGGGCACCCCTGCTTATGGGGTGGCCCTGCTTGTGGCATGTCCCCACTTATGGGGTTCAGCCACTCATGGGGTAACCCTGGCCTGAGGTGCCCCTGCTCATGGGGTGCCCCATTCCTGGGCTGCCCCATTTTTGTGGTGCCCGGGTGGTATCTGACCCCCTCCACAGGACTGTGCCCAGGGCACCGCGCGCTGCCGGCCATTCCGCTGCCCATTGCCCAGCTTCGAGCGCGCAGCCGTGCTGAGGGCCCGCGGCCGCCTCTGGAACGGCACCTTCCTGGAGGTGGGAGCCTTGGGCCAGGCATGGGGCCGGGGATGGGGCCGGGGATGGGGCCGGTGCTCACCCCCCGCCCCGCAGGAGTTCCTGGCTGTCACCTCGGTGGAGCTCATCGTCCGCGCCAGCGTCTCGGTGACCTCCTCCATCAAGAACCTGGTGCTGAGGGATGCGGCAGTGCAGGTCCAGCCCCACCACACCCGGACACCCCCCTCCCCCGGTACCCCCCTCCCTTCACGCTGGCCCCTGTCCCCTCCACAGATCCCCATTAGCATCTACCTGGACCCCGGTGCGGCGGTGGCGGGCGGCGTGCCCTGGTGGGTGATCCTGCTGGCAGTGCTGGCCGGCGTCCTCCTCCTGGCGCTGCTCGTGGCCGGGCTCTGGAAGGTGAGCGGCAGGGATGGGGTCAGGCAGTGAGAAGGGGCCCCTGGCCGAGGTGCGGGGTCCCCTGGGGGTGCTGTGCCACATTGTGCCGTGCTGGGCCACGCAGGGCCATGCACTGGTGTGCTGTGCTGTGCCATGCTGTGCTGTGCCACGCTGTGCTGTGCCACTCAGGGCCATGCACTGGTGTGCTGTGCCATGCTGTGCTGTGCCACACTGCGGTGCTGTGCCACCCCTGCCATGCCACCCCATGCTATGCCATGCCACCCACCCATTCCATTCCATTATCACCCCATGCCATGCCACTCGGCCATGCCATGTCATGCCATCCCTCCCAGCCATTCCATCGGATCCCATGCCATCCCACCCAACCCTTCCAGTCCATTTCACGCCACCCCACCACCCACGGCGCCTTGTGCTGTGCAGCGCATGCGTGCGGATGGTGCGCGCGTACACGCGGTCCGTGCACGGGGCGCGCCGGTGCGGGTCCCTCTGCCCCTTCCGCGGGCACCGAGGCACCCCCGGGGCTGGGCGCAGGCGTGACTCCGCGCGCCGCAGGCCGGGTTCTTCCGCCGGGCGCGGGCGGTGCCGCCGGCGCTGCCGCAGCACCACGCTGTGAAGATCCCCCGGGAGCAGCGGCCGCAGTTCCGCGAGGAGAAGACGGGGACGATCCAGCGCAAGGAATGGGCAGCGCTGAGCGACGGCGGCGACGGCCGCGTCACCCCCAGCTCCGCGTGACCCCGGGACGTGCGACCCCTCCCGGGGGATGGAGCTGCGGCGGCGGCACTGGGACGGGGCCATCGCCCCGCAGCGATGCCCGACCCAATAAAGCAGCGGCCCCACCATGGGGAAACCAACGACGGCGTCGACCATGAAGAGCGTGGCGAATGGGGCAGGGAGCCGCCATGATGGGTGTGGCGAAACGGGTGGGAGCCGCCATGATGGGTGTAGGCAGGGGGAAGCCGCCATGATGGGAGCGGCCGTTTCGGCGTGTGGCCGTGTTGCCGCGGCCGGGCCGGGCTCTGTGTGCCGAGACAACGAGGCGCGTCCCCGTCCCGGTTCCTGCCCCGGTCCCGGCTCCGATCCCTCTCGACGTCCCGGTAACCGCGGTGCAGAGCGTAGGGGAGCCCGCCCTGCCCGTAGTCAAGATGGCGTCGCCCTGACCCGAGGCGCGGAGGGGCCGCGCTTTGACGATGGCACCGCCCAGCGCGGCTTCAACGCGTCTGGCGTGACGTCACCTTCCGGCGGGTACCCGGAGCGGCGCCATTGATGGCGGCGGAGGTGGCAGCGGCCGCGGCCCGTTCCCGGTGCCCGCTCCCGGCGATGGTGGGGCTGGGTCCGGCCCCGTTCCCGCTGTGACCCCTGGGACCGGGCCCATCTCCGGTGTGAGCTCTGGGGACACCGGGCCCGTTCCCGGTGTGAGCTCCGGCGGGGCCCGCCCTCACCTCTGCCCCCCCCTCCAGCACCGCTGCCCCCCGCACTGATGGCGTCGGGCGCCACGAGCCGCTCCGAGGACGAGGAGTCTCTGGCGGGGCCGAAGCGGGGCCCGGCCGCGGCCTCGGGCGCCGTCCCCAAGCGCCGGAGCTCGTCTCGGTACGCCGGGGCCGGGGCTGGGGAGGGCTCCGCCGCTCTCAGCCGCCTCCATTCCCCTTCTCCTTCCGTCCAGGTTCATCAAGAGGAAGAAGTTCGACGATGAGCTGGTGGAGAGCAGCCTGGCCAAGCCCAGCCGCGCCAAGGGCGGCGCCGAGCCCGGGCGCTGCTCGGGCAGCGAGCCCTCCTCCAGCGAGAAGAAGAAGGTGCGGGCATGGCCGGGACCCCAGGGGGCGCCGCTGGGAGCCGCGGGGGGGTGCGGAGCGCGCAGAGCCCCAACCCGCGCTGTGCTCCCCCGCCCAGGTTTCCAAGGCGGTGCCGCCGCCCGTCGCGCCCAGCCCGGTGCCCGCTCCCGGCCTGGCCAAGCGGCTCAAGAAGAGCAAGCAGCCGGTGCCGGTCACCAAGGACCTGGGCCGCTGGAAGCCTGCCGATGACCTCCTGCTCATCAACGCGGTGCTGCAGGTGCTGGGGGCTCCGGTTGTGGGGGGGGGGGGTCCCCCAAACTATCCCCTCCCTCACCCGGCGGCTCCCGCAGACCAACGACCTGAGCGCCGTGCACCTGGGGGTGAAGTTCAGCTGCCGCTTCACGCTGCGCGAGGTGCAGGAGCGCTGGTACGCGCTGCTCTACGACCCCATCATCTCCAAGTGAGCACAGGGCCGGGGGGGGGCAGAGCTGGGGGCTGCGGGGGGCTATAGCAGTGTCCTTGCCCCCCAGGCTGGCCTGCCAGGCCATGCGGCAGCTGCACCCCGAGGCCATCGCCGCCATCCAGAGCAAGGTCCTGTTTAGCAAAGCTGAGGAGCTGCTGCTCAGCAGAGTGGGATCGGTGAGAGGCGATGGGAGCTGGGGGGGGGGGGCGCAGGGTGGGTCCCCGGTGCTATGTGACCCCCTTTGTCCCCCCTCCAGGGCAGCCAGCCGTCGCTGGATACCTTTCAGGATCTGCTGCACAAGCACCCTGATGTGTTCTACCCCTCCCGCACGGCCAAGGCACTGCAGCTGCATTGGCAGCTCATGAAGCAGTATTACCTCCTGGAGGACCAGACCGGTGAGCACGGGGGCGTCCTGTGTGCACCCCCAGCACCCCCAGATCTCCCCACACTCCTCAATTTTTCTCTCTTCTGTTCCTTCCAGTGCAGCCGTTGCCCAAAGGGGATCAAGTGCTTAATTTCTCGGATGCTGAGGACATGGTGGATGACAACAAATTGAAGTAAGGGGATGGGGGAGGCCAGGGGGGGAAAGAGGGGACCTCATTCTCATCCCACTTCTGTTCCATAGAGATGTGCGGGACGAGGTGCTGGAGCACGGTGAGTCCAACTCACTCCATCCAACAGCCTGACTCCGTGTGGTGAGGTCTCTCCCCAGAGCATGGGGGGTGCCCCATAGGAGCCCCCCTGCTCAGCTCCTATCTCCCCCTGGCCCAGAGCTGACCGTGGCCGACAGGCGGCAAAAGCGCGAGATCCGGCAGCTGGAGCAGGAGCTGCACAAGTGGCAAGTGCTGGTGGACAGCATCACAGGTAAGGGAGGGGGGGATCTGGGTGTGCCCCCCCCCGACCCCATGTGCCCCCCCCATATCCCTGTTGTTGCCTCCGCAGGGATGAGCTCCCCAGACTTTGACAGCCAGACTTTGGCCGTGCTGCGGGGCCGCATGGTTCGGTACCTGATGCGGTCGCGGGAGGTGAGACCCTGCCTCCAACAGAGCCTCCCCACCCCATGGACCTCCCCCCCAGCATCCCCTTTTGCCTTTCCCCCCCCCAGATCACCCTAGGCAGAGCTACCAAGGACAACCAGATTGACGTGGACCTGGCACTGGAGGGGCCAGCCTGGAAGATCTCCCGCAAGCAGGGTGGGTTTGGGGGGCTCTGGGGCAGGGGGGCCGTGCCCCCCCCATCTTCTCACCCCCTTTCCGCCTCTCTCCAGGTGTCATTAAGCTGAAAAACAACGGGGACTTCTTCATCGCCAACGAGGGCCGGCGCCCCATCTACATCGATGGGCGCCCTGTGCTGGGTGGCAGCAAGTGGAAGCTCAACAACAACTCCGTGGTGGAGGTGAGCCCAAAGGCTATGGGGAAGGGGGGTCCGGGGGGGGTAGGTGGTCCCAATGCTTATTCTCCGTTCTGTCCCCCCCACCAGATAGCCAGCCTCCGCTTTGTCTTCCTTATCAATCAGGACCTCATCACTCTCATCAAGGCAGAAGCAGCCAAGCTGGCCCAGCAGTGACTGGGGGGCTGCTTGCCCCCCACCCCCGCGAGGATCTGCCCCCCTTGCTGCCCCATGGATGGGGGTGGCACTTCCCAATAAAGCTCCTCAATGGACTGCAGGGCCCAGAGCTGCGCTTCATGGGTTTAATCTCTTCAAATTAAGACACTTGGAGTTCAAGAGAAGGAAACAAAAGTGGGCAGGGGGTAAAGTTGTGGGCCCCCAGCACCCCTAAGAACCTCCCCAGGCTCCCTAGGCCCCTGCAATGCAGCTTTAGGCATCCGGCCCCTCTAGTGCTGCAGTTGAGCTGAGGGAGGACACAGGGCGGGAGGAAGAGGAAAGGATTAAAGCCAAGGGATTCCAACATGGAAAACCCAGGGATGAGCAAAGGGGTGGCGCACTTCCCTCCTCATCCTCGCTGCCAGCACGGGATGAAGGTGGGGAAGGACAGGCTGGAGCTGGGGTGGGGGGAACATAAAGCAAATGGGGGGGGCCCCCAAGAGGCAAAAGAGCCCAAAATGGCACAAAGGAGCACAGGGACCTCAGGTGCGGGCCCCCTCGTGCCGAGCGCGGGGCCGGCGCTGGGGCGGTGCTGCTGGCGGCCGGGGTTGGGCCATGGGGGGCGGCTGCAGTCGGGATCCTGCTCCCGGCCTCCTGGGGCGCTGCAAGGGAAGCCGCTTGGTGAGGGATGGATGCGACCCCGCTGCAGCAGCGCGGCTGCAGCCCTGTGCACCTATCACCCCAGCTCCGGTGCCATGGGGCCGGTGCAGTTACCTCTCGCGCTGGCTGTGGGGGGTGGCTGCCCGTGTCCCCCGTGGGTCCCTCTGCTGCGGCCGGGGGCTTCTTGGTGCCGGTGCTCAGGCTGGGGGCGGTGGCTGGGCCGGGGGGGGCCGCGGTGTCCCCGGGGCTGCCAAGGGCTGCGGCTGTGAGTGAGCTGCACCGGGACCGTGTGGAGTAACTGTTCTTGGGGTGGGAAACTGCGCGAGGAAGAGCCCTGGGGTCAGTGCTGGAGGTGGGACCTGAAGCATCCCCCTCCAGCAGCAGGAAAAGCAGGAAAGGGGGGAGCAGTACCTCCCTCACCTTGGCCAAAGGCAGCGATGCTCCTCTTGAGTACATCCAGGTCGCAAGAGAACCGTGCCACCCGGCCCAGGTCCTCATCGTACTTGCGCTCACTCACAAAGTGCTGCTCATGAGAGACAGAACACGAGGTTAGGGCAGGAAATTGAGGGGAAAACATTGCCACAAGTGGGAATCCGCACTGGGAGCTGCTCGGGGGCACTGGGAAGGGGGTGGTAATGGTCTTCTGGGAACCATTTCTGCTCCATGCAACCACCCCCAATCCATGGCACAATCCCTTCTCCATGGAACCATACCCAGTCCATACAGTTGGCACAGCCCTGGTCCCTGGACACTTGACAGAGGAGATGGTTTCTTACTGCACTAATCCTGTTCTAAGGCTGGCGTTTTACAGATCTCCAGTACCTAAAGGGACTACAGGAGACCTGGAGAGGGGCTTTGACAACGAATGCAGGGACAGGACAAGGGGAATGTCTTTAACCTGCCAGAGGGGAGATGCAGGTGGGATCTTAGAAGGAAGTTTTTCCCAATGAGGGTGGCGGGACATGGAATGGGTTGTATGGAGAAGCTGTGGCTGCCTCATCCCTGGCAGTGTTTAAGGCCAGGCTGGACTGAGCTTGGAGCAACCTGCTCCAGTGGAAGGTGGCCCTGCCTGTGATTAGAGCTGGAGGAGCTTTAAGGTCATTTCACCCCACCCCATTCCATGGTTCTGATCTACAAACCAAGGGCTTTAAATGAAGGTGTCCCCAGGGGAACAACCCCCTCCTGGTGGGTCTGGGCAGGAGCCTGCTGTGGGCGCACTCACCTTGATGTCAGCCCGGAGCTCCACCAGCTGCTCCTCAGACATCCTCACAGCCACATCTGTCATCTTCTTCAGTGCCTCCGCCTTCCTCTGCCGGCTGCCCAGGATCTCCACTGGGAACACAGCATGGCTCAGCACCACGCCAGGACCAGCACCGCACCACTATCAGGCTCCCCTGAGCCCCCCCTGCCCACCCATGCACCAGCAGCACTGGGAAAGCCCTTTTCATCCACCCTGATCATGGAGCTCTTTGGGAACAGCACCCCCACAGAGGCTCAACCAGGGCACAGGGCAGGTGGTGGCAGGGGGCAAGTCATGCTATGGACAGGCTTTGGCTGGGAATGGAGCCGGAATGTGGGAACAAGGGGGATAGGAGGTAATTCAATGGAATCCTGGTGCTGGGGGTCCCTCCAGCAGCACCCACAGCTCTTGCAGGGGAGAACAAGGGGCTTACTTGCTTCTGCTTTCACTTTGTCCATCTCGGCCAGCAACGCCACCTCCCGATCCATAAGGCTGGAATGACAGGGAGAAATGGAGCATTAAACAAAGGCTGGTGCTATCCCACAGCAGGGCAGGAGAGGGGTGGAGGGCGGCAGGAGCGAGCTGGGATCGGCAGCATCCTCAGCAACCTGCATCAGCCTCTGAGCACCACTGGAAAGGGGAGAGGGAGCTGTGGGGCTTTTTCCCACTGGGCTCCATCCCTGAGGAAAACAGGGAACAATGTGGAAAAGAGGAGTGGGATGAGCAGCAGATCCCTCCAGAGCTGTATCCACAGCATCCTCAGCTCTGCTCATCCCAAGGTTCCTCCTGCACAACCAGGGGATGTTGAGAGCTGGGAAGGTGCTTACTGGGAATGCTGTTACTTGGGAATGGGATTTCTTGGAGCCACGACCTGAATGCAAATCAAGGCACATCTGAATGCAGGCTCCCATTCCTGCTCCGTGAGGTGGGATCAATGGAAGCAATTCCCTCTGAGCAGCAGCTCTGACATTTACCTGCTTGTGGAGATTTATGGCCCATCCAGCTCCTGCTCTGGGCAGGATTGGTGCCACCAGGAGCACAGCCAGGGCCTGTCCTGGGGCAGGGACATGGAGCTGGGCAGAGCCAGCATCCGCTTGGGATGGAGCCTTCATTCCTGCTGCCGACCCATGGGGAAGCACATCCTGGTCCCTCTCTGCTGCCACAGTCCCCTCGCCAGGGGGCTTTGAGGATGTTTAAGCAGCACACAGGGAAGCACAAAGGCTCCAGGTGGGATTTCCCTCCTGGGATCCTTTCCAGCCCCACTGCTGTCCAGCCCACAGCTCCTTTTCCATAGGGAAGGTGAAGGTTGGGAACACCAGGAAGCCTCCAGGCTCAGCAGGACCAGAAAGGGCAGCCCTGACAGGCAGAGGTTAAAGCAGCCCAGGCTTTGCTGCTCCAATGCTCTGTTCCAGCTGAGCAAACCTGCTTCCAGGTCTGCCTTTGGCAGGAAGCCACCCAGAGGCCACAGGCTCTGCTGTGGGGTTTAAGGATCCACTTCATCCTCCTCTGGGTCATGGAGGGGGGAAGCAGCACGGAAAAGCCCATTAAAGAAGGTGAAGGTGCTGGAGGGCAGCAAAGGGAACGTTTCCCTTCTCCCTGGGCAGCAGCTCCCAGGATGTTTGCTGAGGGAGGATCCTCTGGGCTGGCTCCCCCCTCCCTGCTCCCGGAACCGTGTCCTGCTCGGAGCCAGGGCTCTCCCAGCGTGACGTGAGTGCTCCACAGGCAAAGGTGAGGAGCTGCCCACAGGGAGAGGGTTTGGCTTGGAGGCACCAGGAACACCCTTAACCTGCCCTCTGGGGCTGGGGGAGGCTCCTCAGGTCAAACATAACCTCAGAACAGAGTCAAGAGCTGGGCTGAGAATGGGGCAGGATGGTCCCTGGTGCTGCTGCACCCCCAGCAGATCCATGTCTCCCTGAAGTGAGGATCTCAAGGAGCAACGGTTGCTCCTCACAGCCACATGCTGAGCTCCAGCGCAGGGTGAGCACCAGGCTGACAGCTCCTCACACCTCCTGCATCCACAATGGTTCTGTCAGACACGAGCCCCAGCTCAGCAGAGCCTCAAATCCCACCTCACAATGAGCTTAGCCTCTGTGCCAGCTCCTCAGCACCCTCACAGGGAAGAATTCCTTCCTAAGAAGCCATTTCAATCTCCCCTCTGGCAGGTTAAAGCCATTCCCTTTGTCCTGGCCCTCCATTCCTTATCCAAAGCCCCTCTCCAGGTTTCCTGTAGCCCCTTTAGGCACTGGAGCTGCTCTAAGGTTTCCCTGGAGCCCAGCTCTCAGCCTGGCTCCATGGCAGAGCTGCTCCAGCCCTTGGAAAGTTGCAGTTTTATCCCAGGTGGATTTGCCCAAAGCTGGAACACCCGGATCTATCCCTGCATGGAACTCACCTGCTCTGCAGCTCAGCAAAGACCTGCTTCATCTTCTTGATGGAAGCATCCATCTCCTCCTTCACCACCACCCGGTACCGTGCCAGCGACACAGTGCAGCGTTGTAGATCCTTCACTGACTTCTCAATGTTGGAGCCTACCAAGAGACAGAGCAACCTCGAGCCTTGTCCTCCCAGCAGTGACCAGCTACCAATGGCATTCCCCCTCCTTTCAACACCAGGCATGGCCTGGGGTAAAATCTCCTTTCCCCAGGAGGCATCCAGCACTTCCCTCTGTGGCAGTGATATTCCTCCATGTTTCCCAATCCCCAAGAGAAACCAAATGCATTTGTAGTAGGGACCCGTTCCAAAGCCACCCACCCAACACCAAATGATGCTTTGCATGGAGGGAATTCTCTTGGAAAGGAAGATGAAGGCTCTTCCCTTGCAAGGATGGCTCTGGCCCCATGGTGAGCCCTCTGCCCAGCTCTCTGGAGCTCACTGCCCTGCCAAGCTGCATTAACCCCACTCCTGACAGTATCCCTGTGCGGGAGGAGGACAAGGACACCACCTCATGTCCCTGCACTGAACAGAAACCCAGCGGGCTCTACAGTGCCTCCTGTCCCCCGTGGTGCCTGCAAGAGCTCAGCTGTGCAGGAAGCACATGGCAAGGGGGGGACAGGGGACAGAGGTGGTGGCTGTCACCTCTGCTGACAGGATGTGCCCAGCATGTGGCCTTCCTCACCCAGATGAGAGCCAGGCTGGAGATGCTGCGAGGAGTGACCCAGCCCCGCTCACACCCGCTCTGCTGCTGCAGGCACTGGAGCTAAACTGCTGCCACAGGTCCTGCTGCACGGAAGGAGCAGGGGGAGAGCAGGGGGGCAGGGTGCAATGAGCTGCCCAGAGGCAACCAGGGTGTTCGTTCACATTAAAATCAACGTCTGACAGTGCTGCTGTGGCACAGACACAGCGAGAGCCTGGCCTGCAGCAACCTGCTCTGGCACTTGGGGGGCAGAGACAGCAATGGGAGGGCAGAGCTGACACTGGGGGTGCAGAGCTGGCAATGGGGGGGCAGAGCCTCAGGTCTTACCCAGCTTCCTGTTGGCAGGAGACAGGGGCACGTCCTCAAGGCGGGTTGCAGACAGGGAGGCAGGAGTGGAGTGGCTCAGTGCTGACCTGGACAGAGATCTGCCAGTGCTCCGGTGCTCAGGCTGCTGCCTGAGGGATGCAGGGCTCTGGGAAGGATGCAGGGTGAGCGATTGTGTGTCAAAGTCTGCTATCCCATTCGCTAGGTCAGGCACTGCTGTAGGAAAGCACACTGCTTTAAAGGGGGGGGCTGGGAGGGCGGCAGAGCGCTGTCCACCGCCACCACCACAAGCAAAGCAAAGCAGAGACCGGCCCCTCGGAGCTGAGCTGGCCTCCGAGGGGGCAGGAGGCAGCTCCTCTGCTTTGGGAACACTCAGTGCTCGTCTCATACAACTAGGGAATGGGTTAGAAGAGACCTTAAAGCTCCTCCAGCTCCAACCCCTGCCACGGGCAGGGACCCCTTCCACTGGAGCAGCTTGCTCCAAGCCCCTGTGTCCAACCTGGCCTTGAGCACTGCCAGGGATGGGGCAGCCACAGCCTCTCTGGGCACCCTGTGCCAGCGCCTCAGCACCCTCACAGGGAAGAGCTTCTGCCTAAGAGCTCAGCTCAGTCTCCCCTCGGGCAGGTTCAAGCCATTCCCCTTGGCCTGTCCCTATAGGCCCTTGTCCAAACCCCTGCCCCTTTAGGTACTGGAGCTGCTCTAGGGTCTGCTCTTAAGGAGACTTAAGGGGCTGAATCAGCCCAGCTCCCAGCCTGTCTTCAGCAGGCTCCTGAAGTGCTCCCTGGGCACTGACCTGCTCGGGGGGGCCCTGCTGGGCACTCACACTCCTCCAGCTCCCTGGCATCAATGGAGAGCGCATCCAGACCCTCGCTGAGTGAATCCACGGACTCGGTGTCATGGGCACAGCCGTTGACATGGAATCCGTTCATCCCGCCCTTCCCGGCGCTTCCCGGTGCCTCCTCCCCACTGGATGCTGGTTTCCCCAGCTCCGGGAGGCTGCTGGGCTCTGCCTGTGGCTTGGGTTTGGGTTTCTTCTTCTTGTTCTGGGGATTGGAAATCGCACCACAAAAAGGGGGAAAAGCATTAAGTGAAATTCCTGAAGGGAATTCTGCCTGCAGACAGGAGCTGAATTAAAGCCTTTAGAGCCCAAGTTGCTCCCAGTCCCGGGCACAGCAGAAGGGATTGACTCCACAATGAACACAGACCCAGCAGCATTAAAGCACAAAGCACCAAGAGCAGCGCCCTGCTTATCACACAGGGGCTGAGTCATGATGGGGAGCACCCAGGGTTGCTGTGCTGGGGTGCTGTACCAGGGTGCTGTGCCCACCCTCCCCTCATCCCCCAGCACAGGCCACGATTCCTCTCTGCCCTCCCCACCCTCCCCACCTCGTGCTGCTGCTCTTCACGTATTCAAAGGAGCCCTTTTGAATAATGATGATTTGACTCCTGGTCCTGGTGGATTCAGGCATTAGAATATCAAATGTGGGCACTTTGCAGAGCTCCGTTTAACCCTTTTGCTGAGCAAACACCCCCAAAAGCTGCTGTGACAAAAGAAATCCATGTCCTCTGAGCTCAGCCCCAAACGTGCCTGCTCGGCTCTGCTGCCAAACACAGCAACGTGCCTGGAGTGAGTTAGAGCAGAGCTCTGCAAGGACCAGGGGACCTGACCCGCATCTCCCCACGCCGTGCGTGGGTCAGTAGAATGAAACAGCAGTGAGGACAGGAGCCCAGAGCCTTTGCTTGGGATGCTGGGCCTGACAAGTACAGCAAATGCAAATGTGGTTGATGCTGGGTACAACTGGCTCTGTAAATCACTGCCCCTGCAGTCAGGCTCTGCTAACCCACAGCTACAGCAACACCACACCTGCTCCTTGCCTCTCCTCTGGGTCTGAAGCTCTGAACACAGGGAAATGTTTTGGCAAAATGCCTTGTGAAAGCATTACCTTTTTCTTGCCTGTTACAGTCCATTCCTTCAGTACTTCACTGGCGTTGCCTGGAACAAAAGGCAGGGGTGAGGCTCTCCCCTGGAACACTCCCCAGAGCTCAGGGTCAATGTTTGCAGGGACCGGTTTCAGTTTTGCTTTGGGAATAGGGTTTCTCCCTTTCAACACAGTCCCAGGATTAAAAACCAAGGAAAAGCCACCCCTTCCCTCTGGCTTTGTTCACTGAAGGCTGAGGGAGCTAAGATGCTGCTGAGCTCCAGCTCAGCTCCCTGCTGGGCTCTCTCCAGAGACTGCCTGTTAGGAGGCTGCTCACACCTTCTGCAGGCCAGAGGCTGGCAGGGATGGGCAGCGCAGACAGAGCTGCAGAGCCCAGCCCTGGCACCTCACCAGGGCAGCAAATGCACCCAGCCAGGCCCAGGCAAAGTCCCCTGTGTACTCTCACTCTGTACACAGGGGCAGGAGCGCCTGCTCTCATCAAACCTCCTGTACCTCAGGAGCCATCAACCACTTCTCTCTGACGCTGGGAACACACCCAGCTAAGCAGGATCCCCGTTAGTGCCTGTGGATGTGCCACCAGCCCCAGGTACCTTCCATGAAGGCTTGCACCGTCCTGTCCACGCAGTTGTCAAAGTGCTGCAGCACGAGCACAATCTCATTGTTGCTCCTGTTGGGGACGATGGCTCTCACAGCACTGATCTGCAGGGGACACAAGGGGACATGGAGAACCTGTGTGCTTCATCCCACCCAAACCAGACCCAGGGACCTCCTCATGCACCACTGAGCCTGAGTAAAACCTGGCTTTTGATGGAGTGAGCTCCTGGCCAGCACCATCCTTCCCCTGGGAGAGATGGGGATACAGCACCAGGAGCTCTCCAGCACAGGGCAGTTGAGGGTCTCAGCACACATTTACCTTCTCCTTCATGTTTTCAAAGGTTCCTCCCTGGGCCAGCACCGTGTTGGACTGCACATCAAAAACAAAGCCAGAAGGATCTGCAGAGGGAAAGGCTCTTCTGAGCACCAGGCACCAGAGGTGGGAGCTCAGCTCCAAACTGCTGCTTTGCCAACAGCCTACAAGTGAAGGACCAGGTTCTGCCCAGCCAGGTAGAATCTGCTTTGCCAACGCCCTCCTAACCCTAAAGTTACCCAGAGTCAGCTCTGGGTCAGTTTAACCAACCATGAAGCAAAGGAGCTCGCTGGGGCAGAGCTGCTCCCACTCTATGTCCATACTCATCCCAGCCCAGCACTAAGGAGTTAAGAGCAGCCTGAGAGCCCGGAGCAGTGGTTAAGAGTCCCCTCCACCTGCAGATACAAATGGCAAGCAGACTGATAAATGGGCTGGAAGATGTAGCAGCCTGTGTTCCTGCCAGCCACCATCTCCAAGGTAATGTTTAAATGTTCCAGGAGAGGCCCATAACAGAGACAGGCACGATGCCAGCTCTGAGGCCCACCGGTGGGGCACATAAATCTGAGCCCCACACAAGCTCCTGGTGTCACAGGGGCTGCAGGAAAGGGATCCTACAACACAACGTGCTTCCAAGCAGTGGCTCACTGCTGGCGAGGGTTCTCTTGCACCCCGATGCCTTGAGCCCTGCGTGGAGCTGGGGAGAAACCAGAGGAAGCTCCTCGGGTGGCTTTGGGGAGCACCAGGGGAGGGATATGTGCCATAGGGCCGCTATTCCAAGCTGCTGATCCATGTTCTTCCCCCCACCTCCTCTAAATAAGCAGGATGCGCTTCCGAGCCACCCCATTGACTTCCAGAGACATTGATGTAGCATTTAAAACAGCTGCCTCCAAGCCCTGCCAGAGCCCAGCGCGATGGAAAGGTCAGGCTCCTGTGGGACTGCACACAAGCAGTTCAAGCCTTCCTCGTCCATCCTTCCCCAGGAGCACGTTCCCTCCAGCTTCCCAAGCCCAAATTCCTAACTTCCAGCCCTTCATCTCCTCAGTGGCTCTGCCAGCACTGAGAACAGCGATCCTCCCTCAAAATCCCTGCGGAGCCACCTCCAAGGATGCAGGAGCAGGGAAGATGAAGCTCTGCCCATCCTGAGCCGCTCCATCGCAGCAGCTTCGCTTCCACTCAGCTCTTCCAGGACTGGAGCTCAGCCCCAGTCCTGTGGATGGGAACGTGTTTGTCACACACGGATCCACCCAACACTGCCCCTGAGCACCCAGAAACAGGGCTCTGCTGTGACACTGGGGATGTGCAGGAAGGGTGGAACATGAAACACTGGCACCGTGGCACCGGAGCCACCAACACATCCAAATCCCATCCCATGGGATAGGAGAGGCTCCTGACCAAAGCTCAGGCTTTGTGTCCATCAGGCTGATCCCCTCTGCATTACTCTACACACACACTGAGCCCCAGGGGTGGTGCCCACAGCCCCCACTGCTTCCTGCTCCCACTGCATCCTCCAGTCACACAGGTAGGAAGAATCCCTTCATCCCAAAGCATTTCCTTGTGTGTTGCAGTGCTATTTATTGGAGTAACCAATACAGGATCCTTCCAGCTCCCCTGGGGCCTGGAGCCAGCCCTTGCTCTGTGAAACACTCCATCAGCTCTTATGGAAACTCCTTTAAGGCCCCAAGAGCAGCTTCAACTGGAATTTCTCCCACATTTGGGGTTTTGTGGCTCCGGCCAAAACTTTCCCAAAGACATGTCACCAATCCCAGATTCCTGCTTTCCAGCTCCTCGGTGCAGCCCTGGCAGCAGGTGCTGCTTCCCTCAGGACCAAAGTGTGGCTGGATGTGATCTGACCCCTTTACAGATGGAGCCGCTTCCTCCTCTGCACAGATCTGATGAGTAAAGTGTGAGTAACCTCCAGCAGCACCAAGCCCTGCACAGCTGCACCACTCAGAGCTGAGCTCTTCATCGCTGTGCTCATGGCACTGCTGGACCAGGGGGGCTCCCATCCCTTCCACAACTGCTGCATTATTCAAAGTGGGCCTGGCTGGCTCCTCTCTCCTTTGTTCTGCTGCCGAGGGGCTTTGTTCCGCTTCCAGAACAAGCCATTCCTTACCTGAGCAGCAGCAACACTCCCTGGCAGAGGGCTGGGAATCGCTCCTTGCCTGCATTAACATTCCAAAGCAGCAGGAAAGTGGTCATTGGCAATTCAAGGCCAGGCAGGAGGCTTGGTTTAACCCTCACTTCCCCTCATGGCCTGGTGCTGGAGAGCAGCAAGACAAAGCCTTGAGCATCTTGCTCTGTGTCATGGTCCAGATCCCTTCACTTTCCTCCAGGAGCCCTCCAGGTGTTCGCTCCATGCTGCTCTGCCCCACAGCACCCAGGGCTGCTCTCCTTCAGCCAGACCCCCAGGATCAGCTTCCCACGATCCCTCTCCCTGTTCCCCACCAGGACCCGTTATTGCCCCCCTGTTCCTTCTGTTTGCCTCTTGCCAGGCTCCGTTCCCAGCATCGTTCCATCTTCCTCATGCTCCTGAAGCTTCCAGGAGCACAAGGAACAACCAGCACCTTCCAAACACGTTCCTACATCATCCTACCCAGTTGCCACCGCTGCTCCTCAAGGCTCCGAACCCAGCAGGGCCGAGCTGTCCGAGGACACAGCTCCTCAGGTAGGCAGCAAAAGCTGCTCGGATGCAGACAATGGGAACTGTCAGCCCCATTCCCTTCAATTATTAATTAGGAGCCAGTTCAAATAGAAGGAGAAGCCACAAACCCCCTTGCTCTCCCTGGCACCGCACACTGGGATTAATTCTCCACTCGGGACAAAGCTCATCCCTCCCTGGAATACACTGCCTGGGGCTGGAGCAGCAGGAACAGACAAACCAGGGAGGAAAAAGCAAGGAGAAAAGCTGCTCCCAACCTGCTTCTTGTCCTTTTCCACAGGGGAAAGGGATTGAAGGAGGTCAAGTTGGGATCAGGGAACTGAGCTTGCCCATCCCAAGTTTCCCAATTGGATTCCTGGAAGGACAAGAAGGGCCAAGGCAGGAGAGGGTGGACAAAGGCTGCAGCAGGAATGGGGTCTAGTTTTGGTAGAGCTGATCCCATAAGGAATCCATAATTCCTCATGAGAGAACCAGAATTCCCTGTGAGGGACCTGGAATTCCTCATGAGGAACCTCCTGGGTTCCCCAGGCCCTGGGGCCAGAAGGCATCAAGTGGGGCCCGCAGTCTCATGCATCCAAAGGGCTCTGCAGCCCTGCTGTATCCTGGTTTTCCTCTCCCGTCTGCACCCGTCATGTCCCAGCGGGATTCAGGAGACGATCCCTGTCCAGCCACACATGAAATGCTGCTCAAGCTGTCACCAGGAGGCTCGGAGCTGTCACCACGGAGGTGACAAGGAACTGCAGCAGCTCTGATGGGGACCCAGCAAACCCAATTAACTCCTTCCCTAATGGAGAGCTTAGGAATAACTGGTGCCCATTGCAGCATTCCATGGCTCTTACCTCTGGTGTTTTGCTTCCTAGACATTTCCAGGCACACGGGAAGGGGGAATGACAACAGCAGCAGTATCCTCGCTCCCAAGCAATGGATCCAAGCAGGAAGAAGCAGGGATCTGGGATGGAATGGTCAAACGGGGTCTGGGGTAGCAGCTGCAACCAAGGCGCTTCCTGGGAAGAGGAGCTCCTGGTCAGGAAGGCTTCCCTGGGAAAGGGAAAGTCTCAGGATCTGTAGAGGAAGGAAATGGGAATATCAAGGAAGGAAAGGGCTGAAGTGATGCTGAGGACACCCCCAGGCTTCTTGGAGCCACCTTAGGAAGGGAATCAGTGTCAAGCAGGGAAAGGGAGGGATGTGAAACAGCACCAGGATCCAGGTGCAATTCCAACAGGCTCCATTCCAAGCTGCTTTAAGCCAGTGCCTAAGGAGAGAGGGATAAACCCCCCAGAACAGCAGCATTCCCATAAGTTTTTCAATGCCTTTTCCCTGGTTAAGCCAAGCAAGCTGGAGCCCAAACCTGCCTGTCCATGTTGAATTGCAGCATTCCCCGTGCCAGCCCTGACTGAGGGAGGCAGTGAGAGGCCAGTGACAGGTTAAACAAAGAACAAGAGGATCCACAAGGTAAGGAAACAATGGAAGGGGAGGATCCGGCCCTGCACAAAGCCTCAAAGCTGGAACCAAAATGGGAAAAATAGGCAAAAACAAGGAAAAGCCATCCCCAGACACTGGCCATTGGTTGTGAGGAATGCAGAGAGGCTCCTGGCACACAGGAACTAACCTCAGTGAGGCAGGTTCAGCCCCAGGGCCCAGGCCCAGGCATTCCCATCATTGGGATTTTATTTGCTTCGGAGCTGTTTCGAATCCCTGCCCCTGAAAATCCAAATCCCAGAGCAAAGAAAGGGATTTTTACCTGCCAAGAATCCCAGAACATTCCCAGTTACATCCTTTCATTCCTTCAGAGGCACCAAATCCCCCCCTGGAAAACACGGTGGCCATTCAGCTCTGCTCCAGCTGGGAATTCCAAGCGGGATCAGGCACAGCTCGGAGTAGTTTCACTTCCCGCTGTGCCCGCACCGGGAATGGCTCTGGAGGCGGGAGTTAAGGGCGGGTGGGGAAGGTGCCCTGTGACACTGGAGCTCTGTACCTGATCCCACGTGGAAAAGCCAATCCCAAAGCACTTTAGCAGCCCAGAGTTTTCCCTGTTCCAAAGGGGAAAACTGAACAGTGCTGAAGTCCTGTGGTGGGAACAAACATAGAACAGCCTTGGAATTACTCCTTGGCAAGCTGGATTCCAAGCATGGGAGTGATACCAGGCTGGCAACCAAAGCCTACAGGGATGTGAGGATGGGAAGATGCAGCCCATGGAAAGAGCCCCCTGTTACCGACACAGGAAAAGTTCAGCAGATCCCATTGGAAACAAACGTTCCCATTAACGGTACAACCAGCAGCTCCTTCGGGAAGCAGGCAAAGCTCTGGCACTTTAAAGGCAGCAGGAAAGAGCCAGGTTCGGAATCACACAGCAGCTGCTCCCTCTCCAGCTCTCGACTTGTGGAGCTCAACAGCTCCCTGTGGAAGGGAAAGGGACGAACAGGGAGCAGTTTGTCTGGATTTGGGTTTAGGAGACTATGGAAGAGCTTTTTGCTGGGAAATGGTGAATTCTGACAGGGAATGAGCTGCCGGAGGGGTTTCACATCCACACTGTGCAGCAGTGCCTGGCCCTGGGGTTCAGCAGCCATCTCCCTTCCTGGTTTTGATCTCCATGGAGCTCATCCAGAGCCATTCCTGGAGCCATCCCAGAGCCATTCCCAAAGCACATCCCAGAGGAGAAATGCTCCAGGGTGTAACGGAGCACTTACAACCCCATTGTCCAAGCCTCCAGCACCTCGGGAATGCAGGAGCTTCCCCAGCTCTGAATCCCTCCTGTGGGGAATTAACTCTATCCCCAGCCTGGGCCAGCTCCAGAAGGGATGGTTCCATTGGGGATACCGGGATTTATTCTACCTGCCATAGGACACAGGAAGTTTTAGCAGCAAATCCCAGTTCACACACACAGCTGCTCCAATAGAGCCTCCATCCTTCCTGCTCCAAGAACTTTTCTTCCCTGAAACAGGCCACAGATCATTCCCATTGGAACCCCACATCCAGGAGCAGGGAACTGCAACCTGGGAATGGGGTTTTATCCCCTCAAACCCTTTCTCAAAGCTCCTTCCAGCAAACACCAGCTGGACTGGAGCGAGGCGCCAGCACGAAGCAGCTTTTCCCTTTGCATGAGGCCTTTCCTGCTGCTGGAGGAAGGACTGGGAATGATACAACGACAAGAACCATCTGAGGATGAATAAAATCAGGTTCTCAATATCCCTCACAGATCTGGGGAAGGCGGTTCCTGGTGTTTCCTTGGGAAGGAGCATGAAGCCGGGAGAGAACAGGCTATATCCCGATTGAATCCCCACTTTCCATGTCCCTGCTCCCGCTGCACTGTGCCCAGGCATTTGCAATTCCCAAACATCCCCCTCTCAGCCTTCACTGGGCAGCACTTAGGGGCATGAAGGAGGAACAGGATGGATTCCCGAGGGGAAAACAGAAGGGAACACTGGGATACATCCCAATGGTGCTTCCCAACACTGGGATCCAGCTTCCAAGTACCTGAACAAGGAGCAGAGTGGGGTCTCTGCTCCTTGGGCAGGATTCCTGCTGGGATGCTGCTGCCACACTCAGATTCCACAAAGTGGGAATCACTGGTGGGATCAAGATCCTCTCTGCCCTCAGAGAGACGTGGAAACACTGCTCCCCACGGCTGGGAATGGGGCTTGGAGGGAGGACCACTGCTCCCCACAGAGGGGATGGGGCTGGAGGGGGGGGATAATCCCCATCACCCCCCCATTACCCCATAACCACCCCCAAAGCCGCTCCCCCCACCCCCCACGGCCGCCCCACCGAGGCCTCCCAGGCCCCAGCACCCGCTCAGGGCCCACACGGTCCCCACCCGAGGCCCTGGACCCGGTTCCGGGGCCCCCCCTCACCTCAGGCCGCCGCGATGCACCGGGAGGGGGGCGGAGGGCCGCGGCCCGGCAGGAGCCCTGAAGCCGCCCCACAACCAATCAGGACGCGGCCACCGCTCGCTAGCCAATAGCGACCTGGGATTTCCGCAAAACTCCCGACCTCCGCCAATAAGAGAGAGGGAGTCCGCCCTCCTGCTCCGCCAGCCTTTCAGATGAGACGCCGGGGCCGGGCAGAGCGCTTCTGGCCAATGAGAGGGCAGAAGGGAGCATCGGCGAGAGGAGGGTGGTGCCCCGCCAGCCAATGGAGAAGAGGTTCGTCTGACGCAACGGCGAAAGCCCCGCCCCTCACGCCGGGAAAAGCGGGACCAACCTCCGCCGAGAGCCAATCGGATCCACGAGGGACGGGCCGGGGCGGGGCTGCTGGTGCCGAACGTGGACGGAAACTGCCGAGAGCCACCGCCCTGAGGCGGAAACACCCGAGTGCTCTCCGGGAACGGCCGAAGGCTGAGCTGGGGGGGGTGGGTGGTGAGCGGCTGAGTTCGGGGCTGAGGGTTCGCGGCCGCGCTCCGCCTAAACAGCTCCGGAGCTGGCGGGTGTGGAAGGAACGGCGAGTCCCCCGTGCACAGACAGCGTGCAAGGCTTTGCACAAGCCCCGTGTGATGGCTCACCCATCCCTGTGCATCCCTGTGGCCCCCCACCCCTCGCTCATGTCTCACTAGAAGGAACAAGGCAGCAGAGAGAGGGAAACTCGTGTTCACCCGCCCCGGCATCAGCCCGGGGCTCTCCTGGGCCCTGCCAGCTCCTCGTAGGCCTCCAGCAGCTCGATGAAGCGCCGCTCGGCCTCCTCTGCGCGGTGTCGGTTGTGGTCCGGGTGCCAAAGCTTCACCAGCTCTCGGTAGCTCCAGTGCACGGCCTCGATGGAGGAGCCAGGTGGGAGACCTAGGACCTGCGGGCGAGAGGGGGCTGTGGGGTCCTGACACGCTCCCGGGGCCATACCAGTACCTCCAGCAGCTGGAGGGGACCCCAGAAAGGGGGTTTGTCCCCCCTAAGGGCACGGCAGCCCCCGCCCCCCATGGACTCCGCAGCCCCGCATCCCCCTGCAGCATTCCCCTTCCGCCCGGTACCCAGCTCCGCATCCTGCACCTCAAACGCCCTCCGCTGCCGCTCGCTCCTTTCGACGCCGGCGCCGCATCCCCGGGAGCCGCCAGCAAAGCCCAAGACCTCAGCGAGGAGCCGCCCGGCGCGGAGAGGCAGGAGCAGGCGCTCGGTGACCGCACGGGCCAGCGCCAGCGCTCCGCTGAGCCCGCGGCAGGCGAGCGGCGCGGCGAAAGCCACAAGCGCCAGCGCCAGGCGGCAGAGCCGGGCTCGCAGCCGGGGCCGCGGCGCCCGTTGGTGCCGGTAGCGCCGGTGCCGCTGCGCGGCGATGGCAGCGGCCACGCTGATGGGCAGTAGCGCCAGCACCCGGCCCTGGAACAGGAGGGAGGCAGCGAAGGCTGCGGCCACCGTGCGGGGCGCCTCCGATTTCTGCTCCCCCACCGAGGCCACCAGTTGCACCCCGAGCCCCGCGGCCAGGGGCTGCACCAGCATCGCCGGTACCCCCGGCAGCCCCAGCGCCGCAGCTAGCCCGAAGTACACCCCCACCAACACCTGCCCAGCCAGGCGCAGGGCGCTGAGCGCTGGTACTGGCCCAGTGCGGGCCACGGGAGCCCCGTTGGCCATGGCCACCCAGCTCGGGAGGTGCCACACGTCCCAGAGCCACCCGGCACCGAAGCCACCCAGTGTGAGCATCCAGAGCAGTGCGTGGCTGTCCCGGCCCAGGTAGAAGTGGTGCAGCCCCAGAGGCCCCCCAAGAGCCCACAGGCCGTAGGCCACCAACAGCTGCTTGGTCATGGTGTGTGTCACCGCCCCGGGGGGCACCGGCACGGCCGCGGTGTTCGGCACCCTGCGAGGTGGATGGTGCCATTAGGGACCCTCAGGTTGTGCTCTGTCCCCCCCCACGACAGACCCCTCCAGTGGAGTCCTACGTGCCTGTTCAGGACCAGTGCACACTAACATGGCTCCCGTGTGTCCACCCACAATAGTGCATCCCCACCCAGCACCCACCAGGCCCACCCAGTGCCCCATAAACCCACCCATGAACACACTCAGGGACCCAAGTCCATCCAGGACCCCATGAGCCCACCCAGGACCCTCTGACCCCACCCAGGACCCCATGAACGCACCCATGGACCTATAAGCCCCCCCGACCCCTATCTTGACCCACCTCTTCCCATGGAGCTCCAGTGGTGCCGCTCCCCTCATAGACTTTGCCCCACACACCATCGGTCAAAGGGCACTGGCACCGGCAGCAGTGCTGGGACAGCAGGTGGGGGACAGCCCCCCAGCAGCGCCACAGGCTCCCCCGCCCGGAGGCACCGGGTGCGGGGTGGACTTGAGCCCCCCCGGGCCCCGTGCAGCCTCTGTTTGCTCAGCGCCGCCGTGTTTGCCGGGATTAACCGGCTGCAGCCTCCAATTTGGGCTCATCCATTATTAACGGCTCCGCAGCCATCCTGCGCCAGGGGCTCAGCCCCGGGGGGGGGGGGGGCCTGAACCCCCCCTAGGCTCAGAATACCCACAGCGATGCAGTCGATGGACTTTGGGGTGTGTCACCCCACCAAGCACAGCACCAGGGCTGGAGGGGGCCCCCAGCACTGGGGTGGGGGCCGAGAGGCAGGATGTTGGTGGCAATGGGCTGATGCTGTGGTGGAACGGGGGCAGAAGGGAGATGCTGTGAGCAATGGGGGATGCTGTGAGCAATGGGAGGATGCTGAGAGGCAATAGGGGAGATGCTGTCGGGCCCCCCCGCCCCGCTGCCTGTCAGGACGCGCTGACAGCGCCCCCCCCGCTCCGCCCGCCCCGCCTGGCTGCCTCCTTGACAGCGGGTCCCAGCGGCCTCGGCCCATGCTTCGCTGCCTGGCGCGGGGGGGCTCAGCCACATCACCCTCAATAGAGGACCCCCCCGTGG